ATTATCGGCGCGTCGCCCCTTTCCATCACGCTTCATTGTATCTTCGTCAAGCTTGTGGACTTTTTGTCACGATGCGGTTGGGCGGAATATTTGGAAGTTGAATTCCGCTGGTGTCTGTTGAACGGGAGACCTCGACCCGGGGTGACGGACTAAGCGCTTGAAGCCAGCCGGCTTGAACTCTTAACGGCAGAAACGCGCCCGCAGACGCCAAAGGTCAACCACCTTCAAAAGGTCCTCGCAAGTGGTGCAACAAGTTGCGATGCCTTTCAAGTGTGCGGGAGTTTTTTCTTAGATTGGGGTGTGGGGGGTCCTGCAAACCGCCAGTCCCGCCGCGCTACTCTTTGGGTGAAGGCCGAGTGACTTTAGGTCAGAGGACGACGGCGAGTCAACTCACCGACGAGGGCGAGGATAACCGTGAGCAGGGGGGCGGCCGGAAAGGCGATGGTCATGTTCATCTCCAACATCTGAAGGAGGTCCACTGAGATGGGCCGGGCGACAAACAGAGAGAGAAAAACAAAACACCCCGACAAAAACCATCACTTTGCATTGACCGCTGCGCTGCTTCAGACTGAGAGCTGTCGACTCGCTACTTTGTTGCGTTTGAAACTGCATTTTGCCTTGAGATACGAGCGACCCGACCCACACTTTTTGGGGACCCCGACCCTCACTCGGACCCCGGAAACAAACGACTTTGGCTATTGTTTTTGGGAGGATGACAATGCGTTCTTTGTCTTCTACCCCCCCTCGCCCCAAAAAGGGGGAGGGACTCATATTATTATTGTTTGTGTTCCTGATGAAAATCACACAAACGGTCTAAAGGCATTTCCAGGCAATTCAATGGGGAAAGACGCTTGAGATGTCACGTTTTGCGTCACCCGCATGGGCGCAACATCAATTCAGCTCCTATCTCAAGGCACATCCGTATTCGCTCAATAACTGCACTGTGCGTGCGCGCTTCAATGCCGTTGTATTTCTCACCAATGAAGACGAAGATCTGGTGGTGAGAATACCTGAGCAGCATGGACACCGACAGCGTCTGAAAAACAGCACAAACGTCGACTGTGGACTCCCACGCCACTCAGCAAAGCCATCTTGGGGCTCACCCATGCGAGACTTGGGACCAAAAGTCATTTAAAAAAAATATATAAAAATCTAGTGAGTACAAGGCATGCATTTTCAATTGTCTAGTCAACTGTTTTTCAGTTCTTTTTTTTTTTTAGGACGTTCAAAACAAACTTTCATCAACCTTCTGCAAAAAAACAAACAAACAAACAAACAGAATTTAAAAATCTCATGGAGATGACTGGGATGAACTAGGATGGCTTGCCATGGACTGGCAACAATTAGGAAAAACTGAGATGGCCTGGCATGGATTGGATAGACCGCCACGGTCTACGATGGAGCGCAATGACTAAAAGAATGAAATCCTAGTCCATGGCCGAGGACGGACCGCCACGGACTACAATGGACCGCCGCGGACTCGCGAAACGGGCGCGCCGGTACGGAAGGGCTTACGAAGATGACCATGATGACAAATGCGGCCAGGTAGGAGGTTCTGGCCATCCACATGCTGACAAAGCGGTAATGCTCTCCGGAGACCACGTTCCTGAGGAAACCTTGGCACAAGCACACAGCGCATCATCATCATCATCGTCGTGAGCGGTGACGTGATCTCGACGTCCCGCGGCAGAGTCCGTCTTCCGTCGCGTCACCTTTGTTCTCCTCGTTCTCCGCGAGCGCTTTGACGCTGGACATCAGAATGTCGTCGTAGCCTAAAAACTCGTCCAGCAGGAAGCGACTGAAGCCGTCGCCAAAACACTCGTCCTTGGTGGGATCTGAAAGGCAAAATGGCGTGGCGCCTCAGGCCGCTGCCGGCGGGGCTGTCCGCGGACGACGTCTTACCCAGGGTGACGACCATGACGGGGATGTTGAGTCTCTGCCGCGTGCTCTGAGACAGACGCAGGAAGCCGTACTCCAGAGAATATTCCACCATGTACTCCTCCTGAGGCCAGGCTGCAAAATGAAAGCGGCGAGCGTCACGACGAGCGGCGGGGGGCCGCGGCGGCCCGTTGCGCCACCGCCGCCTACCTTTAGCGATGTGACTGAAGGAAAGGTCCCGGCTGTCGTTGGCCCCGCCTCCCGCCGCACCCTCACCCGCTCCCGCTTGTCCGATGGCAGGCAGCTTCCGATGGGGCTCCGTGTCCAGTTCAAACTGTCGGCGGGACATTTTTGGGATCACATGTAAGCCTGCGTATGTTTAGTGGGGCTGAGGCTGGATCAGATATATTTTCCCCCCCACAGCCCCCAAACGATTCCTGATTAATTGGCCCATTGATTGTAAAACTATATAATGCATAAAATCATTTCTTCTTTGCTTTCTCTGTCTCTCTCTCTCTATATATACAGCATATAGAGATATAAATACAAAGTAGTACAGCTCCTTTTACATTTTCTTGGGCACACGAAGAGAAAAACAATCGGCAAACATCTGCAACTTTGCCAATGATTTGAACGCGACAAGACCGAATATGGTCCGATGAACGAGGGTCCAAATCAGTCCGGCCCGTTTTGGCTCTCCCGGCGCGGCCCAAGCTACCCTGCAGTCTGCGGCCGGCGGGCTTCAAGCGTCCAGCGGATAAGCCCTTGGCCTTCTCCTCACCTGCACTGAGCTGTTGTCAAACGTGTCCAGCGCCATCTCTTCGTCTTCGTCCTCGTCTTCCTCTTGCAGCGCTGCCAGACTGAGCCCGGCGACGGGTCCCCCTCCTCCTCCGCCGCCCTCCTGCAAGTCGTAGAACTGCAGGAAGACGGGCGGCCGGCTGGAGTTCCTCTGGATCTCCACGCGCAGGATGCCGTCGCGAGGCCAGCGCTCCCTCACGCCCTCCAGACAGTTGATGGGCGAGCGAGAGAAGGCGATGTGGATGTAGGCCAGGATGAAGAGGACGAAGAGCGCCTGATAAGCACCAGCACACACATTCAGAAGAACAACGGCTTCCGTCGCTGCCGAGGACACTTTGTCCGTCCCAAATGGCGGCCGGAAGACACGCTGAGGTTTCAAACGGAGTCGCTTCAGAGCCCGGAGACGCCGCGGGAGGGCGCGGTGGCGGCGGCTCCCGCGGGCTTTTGAGAACAACGGTCTACGGTCATACCAAGTAAATGCCAAAAGGCGTCCGCCTACATGGCGCACCACACGGTGGCCCGAGCCCTTCGCCGAGTCTCACATTCCCGCACACAATCGTACACCAACGGGAGGCTCCCGCCAGGTCCGCCGGGAGCAAACGACGCTTCCGTGTCTCGCTCGAGTACGCGTCAACGTGGTCACGAGCTGCCAAATGTTTGTTTTCATGCACAAGGAGACGACGAGAAGCACCTTGAGCAGCACGAAGAACTCAAAGACCCTCCTGAACGATGGCGGGAAGAGGCGGGCATAAGTGACAGCCATCTTGAAAAAGAGCGCGTGGAAGAGGCGGTCTCGAACGTTGATGAGAGGGTTCTGGTTGATGTTGGGGTTCCGGATCCTGTTGGGCCCCATGTTGTTGTTGTTGTTGTTGTTTGGTGGGACATTGTTGTTGGGCTGGTTCTCAGACATGGTCTCTCAACGGGGGAAGGGGGCGTGGAGGGGGGGGGGGTACTGCGGAGGCTGACAGGATCCAAGTCTAACGAGTGTGCAATTAAGTTTTAAACTGAGGGAAAATCACCTTCTAAAAACATTTGTCAAGTGAACTGTTCTTCTGGCTGGCTAATTAAAGAGGGACTTGGAACTCTGTGTGTTTATTTACATCAACATGAAAATAAAGATGTGTACTGTATTAGCAGAGAGCATTAGCCAGTGCCTGTCATATGTCTCTATTAAACAATGCTGACATGTCGTCGCGATCATTAAGCAATAATAGTTTACTTTACAGCTCATGAACTACAGGATCAACAAATTAAGCTCACTGATAGCGCTTGGATGGCAAGCGATGCATCGTGATGCAGCAGGGAGGAGAAGATGAGGAGGAGGAGGAGGAGGGGGAAAAAAAAGCCTGTGAAGTGTCCATATATGCGGACAGGGTCCCTCAAGGGGGGAGGGGGGGGGGGGGGGGGGGGGGGTACTGCGGAGGCTGATTCTAGGTTGGCATGGCTTCAAGTTCCACTCTTCTCGTCGTCTTCGGTCTATAACAGAGACAGGGCAGCACGAGTACGACAACTGATCACAACAATTGCCGCAGTGTTGTCAGACGGTCTCAAGTCAGACGTTCTTTTGATGACCGATGCAAACTAATCACATGACACCTGCTCGTGTTTGTTCTCGTGCGAACTTTGGGTTCGAATCTGATCAGAGTATGCTGGAACCGGTTGGGGCCTGGATCTTGTCTCTTCTTCGGGCTGGGTCCTCCAAACAAAAACAACGACGACGACGACGACGTCCCACCAAGTCTCCGCGGCCACCCACCTGTTAGCGACAGCTCCCGTTGGATTCCATGCTTGAGATTTCTTCTCGATGTTTTCACCAAAAGACTGAAACGGGCGAGCGGTTCCGTCAAACGCAGGCCAGTTGGCTAGCACGCTTAGCTTATTTTAGCTTAGCCGTTGTTAGCTCCACGCAGCGACGGAAACAAGTCGAGCAAGTCCGCTTCGCGAACAAACTACCGAGGTGCTGCCGCGGGTGATAGGAAACACCCGAACCGCATTGGAGACGCTTAAATTCCAACAAATTCGGAACGACGAACTCAACTGACGGCTAAAGCTACAGTTCGGAACTACGGGAATAACCGGAAGTAACGCACTCGCTCTCTCTCGCTCTCTCTCTCTCTCAAGCTTTATTTGAGCAAAAGCAGGTACAGACCTGCATTCTGTGTTCATCAAAGTAACATATTCGAAACATGAAATAACAGTATGCACAACATAGAAAACATCAACAACCATGCCAAGGCTTTCATGTGAATTCAAATACATTGAAAGTTGGACAAATGTTTACAGTTTCCGGAGCTTTTTCGTTTATGCGAGTCATTTAAAAGTTTAATATAGCACATAGCATCAATGTGAAAGTATGAAAATATAGGTTTCTGATTCCCATACCTGCACTTATAAAGAAAAAAAAGACCTAATTATGAACAAATTAGTGATGAAAAAGCATCTTCAAAAACATACTTCCTAACAAATTGAAAAGAAAATGTTTCTACTTTAAAGAGAAATCTTTGTAAAGAAATATACTGACAAATACTGTCCGAAAGTATGAGCAGACCCAGAGGAGGTCTTGAACATCAATGTCCCTTTTAAACGTAGTCATGTAATGGTTGGCCAGATAAATCACTTCTTTCACCTTATTATTATGTTATGATGTCATGTCACCCAGAAGCGGGGTGGCCATTGGGAATTTCTCGAAATGCTTGCTGTTCATTTTCCCGAACGGCCAGGGCATTTCCGGGCCCGCAATGGCCATCGCGGCCCCAAGCAGAATCTTCTCTCTGTTGCCTTACCTGGATGAATAAAGGTTACAAAATAAAAGCGTCATAGTTTTGCATGCCTGATCAGTTCGGACCTGATCACACGTCTCCTACATGTGGGCGGGGCCTTCAAATTCACCTGCTTTTTGAAACGCCTCGCTCTGACCTGAAAGCTCATTCAAGTATCAGGCACAAAGGCAGCAAATTCTGCCGTCACAACCAAAGACATTTTACGTTCTTGGTCATGAAATCTGGCTTCGGATGCAAAGCCGCGGATGCATCTCCAAGCAGCATATTGATGAGGCATCTCGTCGTCGTCTTGTTTGATATTCGCCATCTTCTCCGACGCTCCATTTTTCCACATCCAATATGGCAATGGGGTTGACGTCAGAGCAGCTTCTCACGGCGTTGACGAATGTACGTCTATGGGTGAGATTCACTTGGAAAGAGCGAATGGGACTTTTCGCCACTCTTACGTCCTCTTTCAGGCATAATTCACGGGTTTTATCATTTCACTTGTAAAATGTTATAAAACGTGTTTAATCTAAACTAAACAATGTATGTTTTTGTCATTCCACAATATCCGTCCTTCTTCTAATCTATAGGTTAGAATGATGTGATGTAAATTTCTATGTATATTACATGTATATTTTCTCTTAAATCCTCTTTCAGGCATAATTCACGGGTTTTATCATTTCACTTGTAAAATGTTATAAAACGTGTTTAATCTAAACTAAATAATGTATGTTTTTGTAATTCCACAATATCCGTCCTTATTCTAATCTATAGGTTAGATGCGATGTAAATTTCTATGTATATTACATGTATATTTTCCTGGGTTCATATCAATAACAGAATTCGCTTGTGCGCCGTAATCCGTCAATCAATTGCAAATCCATTCAGGCGAATCAAAGGCCGTCAATGTGGCCTTTGGGGTCCTGAGCACTTTGTTCGCGCTGCGAGCTCCAAATCGGTGGCCACAAGGCTAAAATGGATTTGTTCCGCGTTGTCTTTGGCAATGTAACAAATTGTGGCCGTCGAGTTGAATAACGTTCGTTTATTCACCGGCTAATTGTCCAAAGGGAGGGAGACGTGTTTTGGTTCTCGTGAAGGACGCCGACGCCGCTGGAATCGAAGTAAGTTGACAGAATGAATGAGCTGCTCTTGGGCGTCTTCTGCTTTTTCATGCTTCCTAAATTCGCCCGTCAGTAAGTAGACCCGACGCCTTATTTCATCCGCTGCGCCTTGTTAATCAGAACATTGATTGTCGATTTTATTTGATCAAGAGCTTTTGGAGTCTTCGACTTTGGGACCAGATGTCTTTGTGTTCCCACGAAGGAATACTTGCGGGGGTGCGGTAGAAAACGCGAAGGGCAGAGATGGCGCGAGTGATCGCTTTCGCGGGAAATGATCGAATTTCCCTTCATTGGTCAGAAATGATTTCGATGTCACAAATAACGTAGTTGTTTGCCGGCGATTTTTAGTGACAGAGAGAACGAGTCAATGCACTTGTTTCAGATGGCGGAAAGTACATCATTGGCGCCTATCCGCTTTTTGTGAGATTCTTTGGTGGCGCGCCGTGAGATTTTTCAAATGGAAAAGGCGCGCCTTGGCTTAATAAGGGTTGAGAATTGGCGTATTCGTCCAAGAAATAATTGCTTGATGACTGGACGCTTCAAATCAGGGGTCGTCGCAGGGCAACCGAGAGCCCAGCTCGGGTGGCGCGCGGATGTGATTTGCTGATTTGCGCGTGTCGGCGTGCGTGGGAGCGCAAATGGAATCGGAGCAAACATCTTTGACGTCTCGCTTGTCGCTGCCGTCGCAGGGGAGAGGCTCCGAGCATGGAGTTGGCGTACGTGTGCGACTGGGAGAGGCGCCCCAAAAGCACCCACTGCCCCTCCATCCCCCTGGTCTGCTCCTGGTCCTGCAGAAACCTGGTGGCCTTCACCACCGACCTGAAGAACGACGACAACGGCGAGCCGGGTATGCGCGTTCTTCCTCCAAAGCCGTCGGCGCGTTCGCCCGTCTGTCTTTGGGCGTTTGCCGGTCTTCTTCTGATCGGTTGACGTGTCGCAGATGTCAGTCACATGATCCACATCATGGACACGGAGCATCCCTGGGACGTGTACTCCATCAGCTCCGGCCACGCCGAGGTCATTTCCTGTCTGGAGTGGGACCAGTCAGGTCAGGCGACAAACAACGGCGGCGAGTCATTTGCGGCAACGCGTTTCCTGTCCAAAAGCTGAGCGCGGTCGGATGATTGGTCATTTTGACTCGGAGGGGGGGGTCCTAAACGTAAATAATTCCCCAAAACGACCACTGCAAATCCCCGGGGGACTTTTCAATCGGGAGAATTTGCAGTGCCGCGAGATTTCCGAACGCTGACGGTCACCGCTTGGAAGGTCTGCTTCATCCTGACTTAGCACAACCCAGCAAGAATTTCCCCAAATTGAATGATGGGCTCCGGGGAAAGGGAGCGTTGCGCTGTGGTGGTTTTTTTTTTTTAAACAAAGAAAATTGGGTCCAAAAGCACCTTCAAATTTGGGTGCAAGTAACACCGGGCCGATTGGCGAGAACATCCAAAAGGCGGCCGCGCCCGTTTGAACAGCTCTCGGTCGGCTCGCCAGGCTCCAGGCTGCTGTCGGCGGACGGCGACGGCCACATCAAGTGCTGGTCCATGTCGGAGCACCTGGTCAACAGCTGGCAAAGTGTTCTGAGCAGTTCTGTGGAGGGAGATCCCATCGTGGCGCTGAGTTGGTTGCACAACGGCGTCAAACTGGCTCTGCACGTGGAGATGGTATCTGCCTCACCTCGCCGCCGTCGTCGCCGCCGCCGCCGCGAATCAAGCGCGGCCCGTTTGTTTGCAGTCGGGCTCGACAAACTTTGGCGAGAAGTTCTCCCGGGTCAAGTTCTCGCCGTCTTTGACGCTGTTTGGCGGGAAGCCGATGGAGGGCTGGCTGGCGGTGACGGTGAGCGGCCTGGTCACCGTGTCGCTGCTCAAACCCGGCGGCGCCCTGCTGACGGCCAGCGAGTGTCTGTGTCGCCTGCGAGGGCGCGTGGCGCTGGCCGACATCGCCTTCACGGGAGGCGGCAACATCGTGGTCGCCGCCACCGACGGCAGCAGCTCTTCGCCCGTCCAGTTTTACAAGGTGCGTCGCCCGCGGCCGCCCCCGCGCGTTCGGCAGCTGACGCGCGCGTGTTCAGGTGGTGGTGAGCGTGGTGAGCGAGAAGTGCCGCATCGACACCGAGCTGCTGCCCTCCTTGTTCCTGCGCTGCACGACGGACCCGCTGAGGCGGGACAAGTACCCCGCCGTCACGCACCTCAAGTTCCTGACCAGAGAGAACTCCGAGCAGGTACCCGGGCGTGCCGACTCCGCGGGCGTCTTTCGCTCGCCCTTTTTTCCTCCGTTTTTCTCTCTTCCGGCCCGCGGCAATTACGCCGCGCGATAGGAAAAGGCGGGGCCGGGTGGGCGCCCGCGAATACGGCCGCTCATTTCATTCGTCTCGGATTCGGCGGCGACGACGTTGAGAATCGTTTCGCGGCGTTGAACCGTTGTTTCGTTTGGGATTGTCCAAATCTTGGCTTTTCGGCCTCTCGGCGGTATCGAGACGCTGCGCCGCTTCGCTCGTCCTTCATGAAAGCGGACGGATCGTCTTTGTTGATCCAAACGGGACATTTCCGACCACGTACGTTTACTGGGAAAAGTGACCGTTCAGATGTTGGCCCTTTTTCTGGCGGACCAAGCCAGGAAGTTGCAACTGCATCCGAATGAAGTTTGGGAAGGAAAAAAAAACGAGTCACCTTCATCGAGGAACGAAAACGCAATGTTGTTTGCAGCCGCAGCGGGAATGTCGCGCAAGTGCGCGTCACGTCGGAACGGAAGCGCCATCAGAAATTGAGCGGAGGCTTTCAGGTTTTGCCGAGCGCAGCCCTCTGGCGGCGTTTTGCTTCGTCGTGCTTCGTTTGCTTTTGTTTCATCGCCCGAGAGACGACGCTCATCGTCGAATTCACAATTGATGATTTGGTTGCCCTTGGAATCCACTTGAATGGCAAATACTTTTTAGTCCGATTGTTGGCTTGGATTCATCAAAGGAACACTTGTCGGAATCCGAGTTTGTCCCACGATTCACCGGTGCCGGCCTTCCAGTGAATCCATCGGTTTGACGTCGAGGAGGGCAGACGAGCGGCGCCGATGGGACCGGCGATCGGCGTGGCAACTCGCCGGGCGCGGCAGTGCCCTCGACCGCCGGGTTCGCCATTTGAAAAAGCTTCGCGTCGGGGAGTCTCGCCTCCGTGCCGCGACCGGCTCGCAGAGTTCGCCGCCGAAGTTTGAACTTCGGCCTCGGCTTTGCCGGCCGCTGAAGAAAATGTTCAATTCGGAAAAGGCAAAGGCACCGTTAGGCGGTCGGTCTTCGCCGGTCCGGCACGGGAGCCACGTGCGGAAGACTTCAAATCGGAACGGCCGCGGGAAGGCCGAGCGCGGCCGGACCCCTCGGACGTAGCGAATGAAACGGTCCCGCGGGCGGGATTCCTTTTACTTACCAGTGCGAGACCGCGACAAAAATCAACGGCGTGCTCACGGAGAGGGGCGCATGCAGCCATAGCGGCGTTGGAGTGGTGGCTCCGAGCTTTGGGCGCAAAGCCTCCCTCACCCCCCCCCACCCAAAAGCGCAACCTTGCACTTTCCCCCCAGAACTCCACCGGGTTGGCTTTGGCGCCATTTTCTCAAGTGGCAAAAGGTCAAGGTTGAGCCCGGAGCCCCTCCCGTCTTTCTCCTTCGAGGTTCGGTGCCGCGCGTCCGCCGTTGATTGGTTGCGTGCGCTTCAGGTTCTGCTGTGCGCGTCGAACCAGAGCGGGAGCATCGTGGAGTGCTGGTCGCTGCGGAAGGAGGGGCTCCCCGTCAACAACATCTTCCAGCACCGATCGCCCGTCGGTGAGTCCCGAACGCACGTGGCCGGCGCCTTCGATCCGGGCCTCGACGTGGCCTTTTGACTTTTGACCTCCCAGTGGGCGAGAAGCAACCCACCATCTTGAAGTGGAGGATCCTGACCACCACCGGCGACCTGGAGAGGGTGTCGGCCGTCGCCCTTCCCAAACTGCCCATCTCCATCTCCAACACTGACCTGAAGGTGGCGTCGGACACCAAGTTCTGCCCCGGACTGGGTAAGGCGGGCCCCCGTCGGCGGCGGCGCCTCCGCCACCG